TAGACCTTGTGCACCTTTGATGGTTGTTTTGACGTGAACGCTAGCTTGGGAGGCTCAGACCGAGAACTAAGCTGAGGAAAATACCGTTACTACAGCATGGAATGGGGTGAAAGAGTGAAGGATAGTTGCCTTGAAATAGGACAGCTCACAAACAAAGTTTTTTAAGAGAAAACTAGAGTTGGGGGTAAAGCCAAGAAAACACAGGAGAGTAGAACTGCAATCATTAACGCACCTTGTAATCCGACGGTAACAGCCGTTCTCCAAAGACGACTTGACCCAAGTTTTCAACGGGTGATTCTTTGTTGCGCGTCTCACAAAAATCAAATCTACAGAAGAAATTTTGGCAAGACAGTGTGTGAGTATCCGGCCTGGTTCTAAACCACTAGTGAGAATGGCACACAGAAACAAGATAGGCCGAATGCTAAACATCTGACATTCTGTTGATGCACAGCTACTGCGTAACAGTTTGGAAACACGAATGGTGAAATAATGCTGGTCTGTCTCGGTCTAGACAGGAGTACTCAAAAGTCCCTCGCTGGATATCAACCAAGTGCCTTCATATCGAGGGTTCCCATCTCAAGTGCTGCCCTGCATCTAACCTGCAACATGTGCCGAAATGGAGCTTGGCCAGGAAGCTCGTTCGAAATCAGGTTAATGAAACGAAAATCACTGTCACGACCGTATCAATTTAAAAGTTGTATTTACGTTGCTTTTTTCTAATCCAGTTTCAGCTACTCTGAAAATACTGCCTACATAAATACTATCAGAGTCTGTCGTCTAATCGAAGCTCCGCATGACTGAATTCATCCAATTCTGAGCCTAGGTAGGAAATATGCCGTAAAAGAAAACTAGTCTTTTTGAATATTAGGTATCCAATGACATAAGCTGGCCGGACCCAGACAGAATGCGCCCTGTCCACCATCTACCACCTCCGCGCGACGCGAAAGCTCGACCGTGAGTAATGGGAATGCATTCTCACTATTCGTCTAGAATAAAGCTGCTCCATTTCCCCAGCGCAGGTGAGAATTCCTTCTGATAATTCGAGGAAAGCGCGATATCTTCACGGTCGACTGTAATGCCCTACCAGTTGCCGAGATAGATGCATTTGAAATCACTGTAGCAAAACAACCGCCTTGTTGTCTTTGTATGGACAGCCCTGACTCCCCGAGGTAGAAGTCATTCAGTCGTCAAAAAGGACGCCTACATTATCGCTGAAGCTGTGCGCAGATGGCGACGTCATCGCGTCAAACATTTCGAACTTACCGTGGGCCAACGATCGACCACTTCCATGCACGACGAAACACAAAAAGGCAAGGCGAAAAGTGGCAAAACTGAACCCTGTGGAATCGAACCTGCTGTTCTCATTGAGTTACCTACATATCCGGTTAAGATGAACAGTTTCGTGATACCCTACGCCGTATTGTTTACGCAGCAGGTGCAGTATGAGGAACCTCTAGCACCAAAAACCTTCCATCTTTTACTGACGATATTGAAAACGACTAGAATCAGTCAGCTCGGTCAGTTTATCAGCTACAAACTATGTATCAAGGGTACACCGGTTGAAGTTACTACATTTTCGGTCACCAGAGGATGGGAGGTCGTGGAATGGACAGTCAAGCACTGAGTCAAGCACTAAAAGAGACGGTATGAACAGTTTGTTCGGGGAACGACGTATTGAAACCGACAACTTACATGCACGAGCATCATTTCTGTCAGTGTCATTAGTAATTGATGAGTTGAGTCTCTGAGTACCCATCCAGAGCGGCGGCAGTTGTTGACCCTACTAAGTGAGCTGGTTAGTATTCCCATACTTTGTTGCCAGGTCCTACACTGTCCATCTCTTGATCGTTCCCACTCAACACAGACCTTGTGAAAAGAGCTCTGCAAGGCAGACGGTCCTCTGGCATGCGAATTACATGCACTAACCTGCATAAACTATGAAGTTTGAGTAGTTTATATATCGTGAGGGAGTTCGTCCTTCCTAAAACCATTTGGCGTACCTCCGATGTTCCCACCAGACTCGACCAATGTTTCGGAGACACCTATGGTCAAACACAGACAGCTTTCGCATGTCCTCTGCATACAAAAGCCTCGTTTCTGAACCGTAAAAATTATGGATCGCGCTGCTGCAGTGTTAACTCCGGCCTTGACGAGCAAACTGACGTCACGTCGATGCCATAAGTATTGGAGGTTGGCCAAAGCTGCACAGGCCTTCCCAGTTCGAGGACTAACCTTGTCTCCTGCATGTCCACAAAAACCTACACAAATGCACAGGTAAACAAGTTTACCTACCACGTCGATGGGCTTGTCTGCATGCATGAGGCTTGACTTTGATCCCACCCGGTCTTGTAGCAGGTGTGAAGCGCATGCCAAGCGGTGAAGCAGAGTTATTTAGGTTATTTAAAATGCTCCTGACTTAAAGCTGCCACCTTGACGTACTAATCGGGCCTAAGTGCTGCAATGATGCGCGGGCTACTTTGGCTGGAACTTCGTTCCACAAGGTGCAACTATGCCAGGAGGGCCAAATTGGAGCAGTCAGACCAACAAAAGCGAGACCCCGTACCACGAGCAATCGTAAGACGAGGCAGCCTGGGGGGTGAAGCCAAACTATCCCCTTCGATAGGCGTGTGCGGCCACCAACATCATCGACAGCATGAATCAGTGTTCAACACTGATGCTTCGCTGTCATACAGCCGTGGTTTATTTGAGAGCCTTACTGTGAAAAGAATAAAGGTACATGAGAAAGGGACTTATTACAAGCCTCCTACAGTCATTCCGTGTCTACACATTCAAATACTCATTCAGGCAATCTGGAGAGAAACTGACAACAAGAACGCCAACTATATCCGTCGATAGCCATACTTTGCAGCGTCCAAAACCAGCCAGTGAGGATCTCGCGGTCCTCGTCCTGAAAGGCGAGTAGCACCGACAGCACCCAAACTTTTCGTAATCTCTTTCGTTCCCTTCGGCCAGGTCAAGGGATGCCCACCTCTCTGCTTCCGCCACTCTGAATTGGGTACACAAAACAGCACTCATTGTGGCAAATAATGGTTCGACATGCGCAACACATGGCCTACCCAACGGAGCTTCTGGTGGTGGATACATTATTTAATGTATCGTCGCACAACCAAAAACTCGCTTTCTAACTGTCTCTTTGCAGAGTCACCGACACCGACCCACATAAGCTATGTTCCTGAGACAATGATTTTCCAATGATTTTCACTGCACATTCCAGACCGACCAGGTTTTCGTCAGAGGCTTTTTGAACACCGGGATTTTGGAAACCTTCCAGCGTTCGTCTCATTATTACATCGATCGCGAGATTGAATAGGGAGCGAGGGAGTGGGTATTTCTGAGGAACGCCGCTCTGTGTATTAGAAGCATTTGGCGAGCTGTCCATATACTCTCACACGTCCGGCAGTCTGAGAATACAAACTCCCGTGGCATTCCTTGATGGCTAGGCGATTTAAGGGGAACAGACCGATCAAACGAGTCAAATACGCTTTGTAAATCCGGAAATACTAAAACTGCGGGTCGTCTGTACGTATGGCGTTGTTCTAGCACTGAAAAGGTGTGAACATTTGGTCAACGCGACACTTGCCAGACCGGAATCCTGCTTGTTGCTTTCAAGTCAGTGTTTCACGAGCCACCATAAGGCGACGAAGCACAAATGATGCCAGCAGTCTCGTTACGACCGGGGTCAAGCTGAACCCCCTGTGGCACACTCACTAGGAGCCCCTTTTTAAAAATGGTACCTATTACATATTCTACCCAGTTGTCTGAGACAGTCCCATATCCCTAAATGTACGCAAACAGATCAGACAAGCGCTGACAGGATTTCACCCCTACCTTTAAACAATGCGAGTGGGAGGTCATCTGGACCAGAAGCTCGGTGGCGCTTGAGAGAATACATGCAGTCATAAACCTCCGATGCCGAGATGGCTGTGGTTAGAGCGCGAGTTTACTGACCAGAACGCCGGTGGTTCGAATCCGAACTCTACCTATCGACTTCCGCTGTCTAGGCTTGGGCAACCTGACAGTATCCCAGCCCTCTTGCTTCCTTCGGGTGGCATGGCAGCTGGGCACCGAAAGGGTGTTACAGCTGAACGATATTCTTCTCCGAGGCCATAGGGGGTTCCACATTCACTGTCAAGAATTCTACCTCAACAGTGGGCTCCATATGATTGGCAGCATTTGGCCACGAAAGCTGTTGTTCGAAGTATTCGGCCCTACAATCAAGACGTTCTTTGATCGAAATGGTTCTTCTACTTCTACCCATGATGGTTTCGCTCACAGATGATCTTCGGGGATCGGTTGCACTGATCAACTGAAATAACCTTCGGGCATTATAGGCTTTCTAGGCCTCCTCCATTTCTTTGGCTTTCTATGTCCACCAGACTTCACGGTCGGTACGCACACCCATTTCCACTTGGCGCCTGACAATTCGTGGGGTAAAATTATATTCGGAACCAGCTGGGATACTTCTCCGAGATTCAAGCAGTGTTCGAGTGGGACTGGCGGCACCCTGCCACAGGCAAAACTCCCAGAACTGTACAAAGAGGTAGCAATCCCGTCCCAGTATGAATTCACATATGGTGGTGGAAGATTTGGAAGTGACTCTAGAAGACGGTTCTCCCAATCTCTCAGTTTGCAGGCTATTTTCCGCACCATAAGCGGCCCTGGAAAACGAAGAGAGAACCGACTCCAGACGGGTGCGTAGTCTGAATCCACAAATGTTCCAAAGCGAGCAGCGGTCAGTTATTGATCCATGCCATCGGTAACTGATGTCAATATGATCGATTTGAGTTCGTGATCGGCACGCCGTTGGAAGTGGCCAGACGACTCCGGCTATTTCGTAAGTAATGCACAAAAAACAGTCTGCGGCCAGCAAACAGCTGAAGCAATTGTTTGCCATTTTTCGTACGTACCGAGTTCAATTCACGTCAGCCTACTAATGGAGTCCCAGATGCGCTGTGTTATGCATTCATATGTCTGGCAACCACCACGATATCAGGGCTTTTAACTCGCCGCAGCAGGGCATCCAGGGCGTCGTACAACCTGTCTTTGACGGCGTCGCAACCACAGTCAGTTGGGGCGTAGGCGGACACGATAAAGACATCGATCAACTTCCCGCTTGTAAGACTCCTTGACGCACGTTGCCAGACGAACCGCACACAGGCTACTATCGACGTTTATCCAATCAAGCATGGACCCTTCCACCCGGTGACTTAGGACGATATCGACCCCCTGAACACCCTGATGCAGCAGCCTCTGGATCGCCAAAGGTGCAAAACCTGAAGCGAGTGGAGAATGATGGGGCGGATAGCTCAGCTACAGTGCATGCAGCTTGATACACAGCATATACCAATGCCAAGCGAGTCGTGTGAGAACAAGAACTCCTTGTTGTCCAACCTGCTTCAGAGTGTGAACAGTGAAGGCAGTCAGATAGACTGGGCGTCGAGGCTTGAAAGCTGATTTCGAGTTGTCTGAGGATTTCGGCGACGGATGATGAGCAGACGTTGCTTCCAAAACCAACACAGGACGAACGAAGTCATCGGTCCCAAGTGCTGAGCCTACAAGAAGTTATTAATGGGGTGGGGAGTGGGGGGAGAAGAACTATGCGAGGTTAAGAAGCAGATGGGAAAGTTTCAGTTATCTTTTATATTAAAAACGGCCAAGTTGGGAGACTCGATGGGTGATAAGGTAAATATATGGCCAAATCGAGAAAAATAATGCCAAAGAGCACCTTGGGTGCGACAGATACCAGGCTGATGCCATGATGGTTCAGTGATTAGATCGCGAATTCACTGACCGGAAGGTCCGTGGTTCGAACCCTCTGTCTCTCAACTTCCCCTGTCTAGGCTCGGGCAACCTGGCAGTATCCCAGCCCTCATGTTTCCCTCTGGTGGCATGGCAGTTTGGCACCGAAAGGGTGCTACAGCTGAACGATTTTTTTGGCGCCACGATGGCTTCCGCATAACATTCCTGCGCCCTTTTGGAAGACTGGGATGAGAATCGATAAGCTCCGTTCTACTGGTATTCTGGTTTTGTTCCAAACCGTCTGCAGTATGGTCACCGAACTGTTCAACAGGAACTCATCCAATGAAGAGTGCCGGTTTCTGACCACCCGGGCCGGGTGCCTTGTCAAATTGAGGGATTGACACAACACTGGGTTTCCAATATTGACGGTGTTCTATTCAGGTCCGATGGGCCCTTCCAGCGATTGTGCTGAGACTGGCTGAACCACTTTTCAAGTGTTTAGTCCATCGCTCAAGACGACGATTGAGGAAGTGATTTGCTGTCCCGTCATTTCGCAGACACTTATCTTCTTCTAACCGGTTAATCGGATCAGCTGAAATAGGGCCGGCTGTTGCCTGCGGGGAAAACCTTGTCTTCTGGGCCTTCGAAATCCACCAGCGTTCCGTTATTCCGCAAGCTCTTGATTATTCTGTGCTTGCACTACATGCACCATTAAATTCGCCAGTTGATGGTATGGCCTTTCTGGCTGCAATAAGGTCTGATGATCTCGACAATATCCAGTGTTCATCTAATCGAATCGGATGACTTAGACAAGCAGTTCTGAGGGTTGAGAGCATGGCTTTTTCAACTCGCTTCTTTAACTGTATGTGTCGGGGCGTATGTTGATACGAGAAATAAACACCGGTTACCACATCGACTTGAACTGATCTTCAGTGAGCCAGACAACTGTACAGCGCAAAGACGACGGTTTTTCAAAATCCATTTCAGTAGAGCCCTCTCAGTCTTGAGGTTGAGTGCGACTCTCACCATGATCAATTGGTGTCAGATGCCCGATTTTGAACACATCTTAAGCGGCTCGAGTACAAGGTCTACGCAGTCCTGTATAGCTGTCTCTGAGACACAACATCAGCAAGAGACGCTTGTTGTCCAATTCGACAGAGTGCGGATGATGGATACAATATGAATCACACCCTTGGAGTTTGGTCCTAGGCGATAGTTCATACAGGGAATAGTGGTTTGGAGTGGTGTACGGCGGCCGGTGAAGAACTGTAATTGCAAATGATACTTTCCCGTTGCTCAGGCGGAACAAGAATAGGGTTTTGAATCTTTGACTCAAAAGCCTGACCTACATTGCAGTGGGGGAGTCTTGGCCCCAAAAGCCTGACCTACATTGCAGTGGGGGGACGTAGGGGTTTGTTTTTGAACCATTCACTTAGCCCCGGCTCAAAATGCTGAACCACGGGGCACCGGAAAAAGGGCTTTCTTCAAAGACCCTTATTGGAGCCAATAGTCTGGCTGTAGGGGGCCAGCCTGGCACGAGGACGCCGGGGGTAATGAATCACCATCTCTCAGTCCTAATGCAGCTGCGCACAGCAAGTGACTCTTGGGCAGCACTGGACTGTATTGGATAAGTCGCCGGTGGTCACGGTCAGCGATTGTGCGGTATTTAGATCCGACCGTTACTAACCCATCCATCCGTAGAAGAAAGCAGCATCGCTGCTTCCATATGGATATGCTGGTCACCTGGGGTAAACGCACTACTGAATTCGCACCTATCACAGAGAACAGTACGACCTTACAAAACAGATTGGCTCGTAATCCGATTCCTCGCAGCACGGGGTGGGCTCATTGTTCTTCATCGGGCTGCTGCCCGCTTGCCTTCCTAGCATGGATGCATCTTGCTGAACGAAGTTCCGTTAGTATAGCCCGAGTATTTCTGTTCCGCATTTCGCAACAGGAAACGGATCTTTCACACACCTAACGACGCCTGTCTTCCGTCTTTATAATTTGATTCTGCTTAACCCTGACAAGCGCCGTTCGTCCACTCAGGCACAAAAACGACACTGTCTCCAGAGTGAAGTGTCTCCTATAATTCCTGGCCCTCCCTAAGCACTAGATTTCAATGTGCAGTAAGCTCTCACTTTAACCATTAGAATCGGACATGGCTACCCTCATGCTTTTTCTCCAAATTCGTCATCGGTACGATTGTTCGAGACTCATTTCCTGCCTATAATGTTCGTAAAGTCAGAAGTCTGGCCACTAAGAGCTGACCATTGGTGTCTTCTGAGCATTGCCGGGTCTGATGGGAACACCGGATCAGTAATGCTGAAGTAAGTTGGTTTTTGGAAATAACTCGCCCACGATAGATGACCTGACAACGCTTTATATGCTGCACTAACTTGGTTACTTACTCCGTATGCCATTCGGTCGACTTCCTCGAAGGGCGTTTTCGCATCTCCACGCAACGTTAGGAAACGAGTCAAGTGAGGTCAAACATTGAATTGGCAGTGAAATGTGAAAGCCATTATCAGCAATCTAAGCCACGCTGTTTATTGCCGTCTCCTTGACGGGGACCCCATGATATCAATCGTTAGAAACCGTCAGATATGGCCCAGCCGCACTCTCAACGGCAAACATGCATCTAAGCTGCTGCGCCTAACCCATAGCTTACACCACCAAGCCCAATAAAAAGTCCACTGTCAGTCCTGGCTTTACGCGTCGGTGATGTCAGCCACCGCTTTTAATGTCCAGCCATCTGTCCCTGTCTTCCACAATCATTGGTGAATGGAAGTCTGGCAGCTATATTCGGAGTACATGTTTACGATTTACAGCTGAACATGGTTACGGAGGCTTGGAACCTGGCCAAAGGTAATACACTGAGTAAGAATTTTTAGCGGGCGATGATTGGTACCATCCCACCACGTAAACCATTTGTATTAATCTGGTTGGTGGCTCCTCAATCGATCGAATCCTCCGTGTCAACTTTTGGAAAATCACACACTATCCTCTTCAAAAGATTATGTAAGATCAAAACTTGTGCGATAGAGCACTTCAATTCGTCCGAGTTCAATCGAAATCCCATAACTACATTCGTACCTATGTCGGCTTACTCAACGGCATCAACATAACCACGGAAGCAATAACCAAGGGGTTCGTATGTCACTAGATCATTCACTTCCTCCATAAGCTCTCTTCACATACTATCTGCTGATCGGTAACTTGAAACAACACTATTCCAGTATGAACAGGGGGAACGCGCGTTTACCAGTTTGAATTAGACCGACCACATTCCTCTCGTATGTACATGCCTTTCCCACAGAAGAGTTTACGAAGGTGAATACGTTACAGCCGGAAATGTTTCTTAAACCTGTTCAAAATCCCAGTCTCCCTGGGAATATGTCCACTTAAAGCTCCTAAAAGTTCTAGTCCAAAGACGACATCTACCGGGGATACGATGCTAACAGCTGAAAATATCGAGGGTATTTAGCCAAAAGGAAACCGAAGCCTGGCGAGCCCGAATGCAGACCGTACGGCATTTGCTATGACACACCGCCGATCTCAATCGACTAGTGCCAACTGTGCCGATGCAGGTCCAGACCTCGAATGTTGACCAGAAGCTGTACGCCCGAACAGCAACAAAAGCTCCACATCACGAAAGTCACGAAATAAAAAATGAAACCTTTCCTACGGAGACTAACTTGTCATATCCATAGGAGATGAACGATTTCTTTGACGTCAATTTGTTCACCAGGAGTGGAATTTCACTCTAGAGCGTAAAACCGCGATTCAAAAGAACGATACCTTGCAATTTTTAGATGGAGAATTTCCGGGGCAATAGTTTGTGGGAGCTAATCCAGGTAAATAGAATGCCTGGGCAAAAAATACGGAAAAGACACCGCAAACGACGAACGGGACAAGCATAGCGACAAGCGGTGCGACCGCCGCCCAATCAGGTTGTCTGTCACGCAGCCAGTAGTGCACTTAAACAAAATACGGACAGAACTTGCTGCCGAGAGGTGCGGTTGAGCAATCGGAACCTTGCATATTCCTGCACGAGATTGGCGTGCTAAGTCAGTAGGAACTGTACCCGTTCATCTGATTATCCGCTAAGGTTTCATAGAAACAACTTTCCACAACATCACAACGACATGCCCCTACTTAGCACACGGTTTTGTTAAAGGCAGACAGCCCTGGGTAAAACTCGGACTGAGGTTGAAAACAGAAGTGGTCTAGAAGCAGGATTGTAGTGCGCAGCAGTTTGACGGTGCCCGAGGGTTGTATGGAACGAGTAGATTTTCCAGTTCTAATTTCAGCACTCCAGAATCCTAAGCCAGTGTTACGACACCCATCTTCAACGAGTAAGAAGACCTACAATGACTTTTTCACTTATAGCTAGCTCTTAGTGGAGACACTAGAGGCGAACTAGTATATATATTTGTGTGTGTGATTGTGCTTTGGCCTACAAGCATTATTCTCTCGCACAAATAGGATCTGGGCAGGATATATGGCAGTGGTGCGCACCCTTTTCCTTCCGGTCAAATTTTGTTCTTAGTGTCTTTATTTCGCTTTAGTTAGGCGTTTACCTGTCTGTTGTTTTGCACTGTTAAACTGCGACAATATGGCAAGTGGTCTTCAGCGAACTCCGATTGTCGACAACCACGGCCCCCGCATGCCTTTGTGATAAGCTGGCACACACCAGGCTCAGCAACCCATGCACCGGAATACTGTCGTGCATTACGGTCGCCATTCATAAGTCAGTAACGAAAGTTTGGTTATTGATTATCCTCCGCAAGTGAGCGAAAGAGGAAGAATTTGCGTTTCGTTCAGTGCGCGCCTTGGACGCGCAATGCATTTTTCTGCAAAACCCCTCTGGGTGAAATAAAAACTTGCATATGTGTTCAGTCCAAAAAATCACCGTCATCTGCCGTCACTTTTTGCGATTTGTTTTAGTCAATCCACTTTCAAAATTCTTGGTGCACAACTTTGAACTTGGTGTGCTATGGCTTCGGAAGTGGCTTCACAAGGGTTTCTTGATAAATTTGTTCCTCTACCGTTTTCATTCTTCATAGCATTTGAGAAGGCCTTAAATCAAAACATGAAGGCTAACTGTGTGTTAGTTGTGCTTTCATCCAGTAATCGAAGCACCACAACTGTTTTGCCTCACGAATAAGTGTATTAAAAATGAAGCAGGCGACCTCCAAAACCAACGTAAAACCGGGGAACCCGTAGATCCTAGTAAGCCGAGTGTGTGTGGACAGCGCCAGCTGTCCAGTGCGGTTTTGTCTACTGAGGCAAAGGGACCAACTGGCAGTCACTTCTTATTTTCTTGAACATAACCATAAGTCGTCAAAGTTTTTGTACGATCAGCTTCCGGTTAATCGACGGCTAGTTCTATGCGGCTAGTTGGTTAGGCATCGTGTACCCCTAGCCGCATATTAGTCGTGTGCGTCAGCTAGGTTGTTTCAATTGTCCGCTATGATCGACGTTGCTAATCGACAAACGTCGAGGGGCTTTCTAGCATAATTGGCAGTCTATGATGCAAAACTCTGCTTTTTGCCAGCAAACGTGCGCGACTTTTCGCAACTAATGAACGTGGACTACGGAAGTTCAACTGGCAACAGGAATTACCGAACAAAAGTTGTTTGCACGAATGCATCTATGCATATTTTACAACTACAAGGGACATAAAGATTCTAGAACTTTCAGGGAATTGTTCCAGCTGTAAAGCTATCTGAAATTTTTGTCCGTTTCAAGTGGGTCAACGTTTTCCACATTTCGCGACCTTTTAATACATTAGGCAACGTATTCACAGCCAGTGGCGTTTATTGACCTAGAGGATTCGCTCACTTAAACAAACTGCCATAGTAGATTATTTTAAATAATGCAGGAACATACACATATATAGACATTCTACGCTATGAATCGGTAAGCCTGATAATGCCGTAGCTTTCGAGACATCAATTTCATTGTGCGAATACTGAGCGGCTTTGTTCAGTTGGATAACAAGCCCATTTCAAAAACCGCTCCTGCCAATTGAGATCGCCAGATTTTCGCAACCCATCCAATCTCATATAGGGCGACGATTCGGTCGATACCATTGAAAGTGCTTCACTATCAAACCAGCAAGCTCTCACCATGTCGGCCCGACAGCTTGTCTGGCTAAGACTGGTGGCGCCACTTAGAGATTTTGGAAAAGATCAGGCATGACTGTTATGCTACTCAGGTGTGAATATTTAGGCTGATTCACTCGGCGGCTTTCCTTGAAAACATAGTCCAAACATTGGAAGGCGCCCAGTGTTTTGACTTTCATGGATGTGTCTGAGACGCGCTTCACTGAGTTCCTGTTTGAAGATGATGAACTTTGCTCCAATTGATGAAGGTGTTTCGGGGACCATCAAAAAAGGAAATGAGCGCAAACCTGAGGATCCTTGAACTCAATAGCCTCGGATTCAGATAAAATGCACTCGACTATTCCCGCGTCGCATAGATGCATTATTGTGATAAGAACCACTGTCGGAAATCCCACCGATGCATTGTTGCTGAAGGTTATTTCGGTCTAATATATGATGCATAACGAGCGCCCTCAATCCAACCGAGGAATGCCACTAAACAACGGATAGATAACTCGCAGAAGATTTCCCGGAGAGTCTTCATACCTGAGTGGATGAGCCGGACAATTTTTCAAATCAACATATTCAAGCGTCAAAAGCTCTTGCTGTTTAGATGTATCCGTCGATCAACTGACCGTCTGTACACACATTTTTAGATAAATGCCCATATTTTGCAAGTAACTAGCGGAAGTACACTTAAGCTTCATGAAGTTCAGAAACAATTTCCCACCAAATGCAAGGCATTGCATTTCCATTCGGTGTTTGTTGGTTAGCGCTAGGTGGATGTTTTGGTTGCCGTAGTGTTCACGGGAAGAACCGACGGGGATAGTGCGTGACATGCGCTCTTCTTAGGTTACAGTTCACACAAATAGCTTCAGTAGAAAAGGATGGCATCCAATCAAGCAAAACAAAAATCAAGTTGGGTCAATCGAAAGAGTAAAGTACAGATTATTTATGCCCGCGGTTTTGGGTACCTGCGTTAAAATCCTCCATTGCTTATGCTGAGGCTCGTTCTCGCGAGCCATCTGAATATGTAGCGAGACACGTGTCCATACCTATATCCCCCTGGTTCGGACAGTTGTACTCCTGTTTTGGCATAAAAATTCTGATGAGTTTACATCAAAATCGGAAGCGCCGGAACGGAGTTTCACCATTATTAGGGCTCATCAGCCGTGCGTATTTAGTTGCCGTGCCAATGATGAAACTCCGGTTATTTGACTTGCGGTGGAAGTGTGTTATCTCTACTCCCATCTGAATCGTCAGGTCTGAACGGGAGAACGCGTTTGCCATTGAGCCACGTAATCAATGCGCTCGACTGATCATCAAACGACGACCGATTAACTGACTCGGTTGTGACGGTAGATTGACCTGCCAGTCAGGTCACTCCAACCGAGAAGCGCCCAAACCCGCTAGAAAACTGAAGCAACAGACAACTGAGAACAACACAGAGCCAACTTCGGCGGAAAAAGATGACCCCATACGAGGCAAAGCAAAAACCAAATACGGTCAGTTAAATAAGCTAGGTGGCAGATCGTCTGTGCTCAGGATGGGTGGAGGCGCCTGGAATCAAACGCCGCTCTTCCTTATGCTGGGCCTTATTCTCGCAGGCCACGTGTATGTACAGAGCGATACGTGATCATCAAGTGATTAGATGTGCTACGAAAGTGATACAGCCACAACGCACAACGGATATTCCGACCCGAACTGGGTGGTTCTAGTCGCTCCCCAATTTCGAAGATTGATTGGTATGTTCAGGGCTCTCTAGATGNTGGGCGGGCCTTATTCTCGCAGGCCACGTGTATGTACAGAGCGATACGTGATCATCAAGTGATTAGATGTGCTACGAAAGTGATACAGCCACAACGCACAACGGATATTCCGACCCGAACTGGGTGGTTCTAGTCGCTCCCCAATTTCGAAGATTGATTGGTATGTTCAGGGCTCTCTAGATGTCTTATCCCAATACTAGCAAACACAGCCTCATCACTTAAATGGGGTTCTCTATGGTAAATACCTGACCTTACTCATTAGCGCCCCTCCACTCGCCTTAAAATCCCTTATCACTGACTTATGCAATAATGGTACCGCGTTGTTTCACCACAAACCACAATTCTGTGATACAAACAGCTTCTTCCCTCTAGTCTGAATAACTCCGATTATTTCTCATCACCCCTTTGATGGCCTTGGCCAGTAGCTCAAACTTTCATGTCATCAACAGTCAACATTTTTCAAATCGCACAAGTGTTCGTGAGTGTTCCCTTTCGTTTCTAGTGTTGTTTTTCACAATCTACAATTTCTCTTCACGTGTCGAATGCGTCCCAAAGGCTTCTCTCTCTTGTTCCTTATGTTGCTTCCAACCGTGTTCAAATTGTATCAATTTGATAACGCCCCAGTATATAGATCAAAATTTTGGAACAGACCTGTGATAACTGGAGAAGCTGAAGACTGCTGCCGTTGCGAGCAGTGGCCCAAAGGATCAGGCGAGCCCCAGCCCTTTTCAGCGGTGCAGTCACGTTAAGGTTCTGGCTCACTTTGGATGGAAGGATCGCGCGTGGTTAGCGTTCTTGGGAAGCAGTGCTAAGTCACACTTCATGGATTGTGTGGCGCATACATCACACAAGCGGCCTCATCCAGATAATAACCTTCCAAAGTAGCGCCCCATGGTGGATCCGTGAAACGATTTGGGCATCCTGACTCATCCGTGAAGTTATGTGCTGCTGTTTGAGTAAAGCCTCGATCGCTACTGCACAGGATAGGGATGAATTGATCCTTGGAGCATCCCGTTCATTATTGTAACGCGAGACTATGGAGGTTCACCGGATGGGTGGATTTCAAGCCGAGGATACTCCCC